GTTTCTGCTGGCCGGTGGATATTACATTGAGCACATTCCGCCGTTCATCTCATGGCTCAAGTATGTGTCGTTCAGCCATTACTGCTACAGGCTGCTGGTGGGGGTTCAGTACTCTGCCAATCAGGTGTATGAGTGTGGCTTTGGGTCGCATATTAATTACTGTAGAGTCATGGATTTTCCTGCCATTAAATGCTTGGGACTGGGGAATCTGTGGTGGGATGTGGCTGCTTTGGGGGTCATGTTGGTTGGGTTTAGGATTTTGGCTTTTGTGGCTTTGAAGATGGGACACCCGCACTGATTCTGCATTCTTCCATGGCAGAGCAAGCTTGTTGACTCGAATAGGAGTTTTACGCGGTTGGATGTGCGAGAGAGAAACGACGAACACATTTCAGATTATCAATAATTTCTGACTATTAGGATAGAGCAATGCTGGAGAATGGAAGGCTGTAACAACTTCATTCAATAATTTTTTCTCAAAATGGGAACGAGGGAGTTAGTATTAGTTATATGTTGTTTTAGATTGGCTTAAGGGAAATTGTAAGTTACTAGTAGATTCATTAAATTGAAAAGCTTTTTTTCTTTTCTCTCTTCTTTTTATGGAATGGGCAGAGGGTTGTGTTTGACTTTTGGTAATTAAGTTGGGAAAAGAATGAACTACTTAGAAGGAAGGAATGAATTGACACTGAAAATTGTGCATACAAACAATTGTTGTGTGGAAGTTACTGTTGATTTTTCGTTTTTCTAAATCAAAAAGATTTAATTTCGTTTTTACTTTCACAGGTTTAATTTTTTTACAAATTCAACACTGTGAAGAGATAAGGTTCTACTCATGGAGTTTAATTTCCTACGGCAATTTAAAACTAAAGATATTATAGAACATCCAAAAATGATAAGCAGGAGAGATAACGTAGAAAGAGACTTTTTTTTTTTGTTTAAAAATATTGAATAGTTGTCAATTTTGAGTATTACTCAAAATAAAAACATATGTATATATTTTAGAGCAAATAGAAAAATATTTGTTTTAACGGCCTTGTTTTAGAAATAAGAAAATTAACAAAACCGAACAAAACTGAAGTCGGTTGCAGTTTAGAACACCAAAAGACGGAAAAGATTTGAGAACTGACCAAATGGGTCAACTTTCATAAAACTTTATAAAACCGAAGCCCACAAATTGGAAAAAAACAGCCAGCTCCTCATACCTCATTCAATCTAAGTCAGCCCAATGAATCCCACGGCCCCAGCCCAACGCTATCTAAGACATGAACCCTAACCTTAAATTGTAAGAAAATTCTGTAGATGTTATTTAGAATCAATATTTCACAAATATTCTTGTTATAGGGAGCAAAAATGATCCAAGCGAGATGAGAGGTCGGACCGTGTGATAGAAGCCTGAGTTCATCTACAAAGGGGGCCGGCCCATAACGAAAGGGTCGGCCCATTCTTGAAAACTGACCCTTGGATTCTATTATTACTCTACTATTGCCCTTGCTAACTTAGGCATCGGAGCCCGTGTGACAAGAGTCACACCGGTCTAGCCTTGTTCAGTTTTGCAGGTCTTCGAGTCCCTGATAATCAAGCTTGGTGCAAACCTCGGGAGGAACCGGGAGAGCTTAATCTACGCATCAACAATTGGCGCCGTCTGTGGGAACGATACAGTTCGAGCAAGCTTGGCCGAGACGAAGTCCAGATCTGAGGCGGGTAGAATGGAGCAAATCGACACGAGCCCTGGTGGAGGCCAGCAACGTT